AACTGCTAATTGAGAGCTTGATTTTACCGGTTAGAGGAGGATTGTACCTCGTATTTATATTTGTTTATACCGTTTATTTACTCTGCCTCATATTTGTTTACGTCTTACTGCATATGATTTATTGGACCACTAGTAAGTGTCGATGTCGACCCCTCGTCACTACTTCTCTGGGGTTAGGCTAGATACTTACTGGGTACACGTTGATTTATGTACTCATGCTGCACTTCTGCACTAAATATGCAGAATCTGACAGGTTCATTTGGTGATCATCCTGGCGCGTAGGTGCTGTTGAGAAGACTTTATGTGAGCTGCATTCCAGGCGACGCATCGCAATCCACATAGTCCTTATCGTACTATTCACCTTGTCCTGTCTTATTTACATTTCAAACAGATGTTTTATTATTATTGAACTCCTTAGTAAATGTTGCACTTGTGACATCGGGTTTTGGGATATACTAGTCGATGTTTACGGTTCTGTATATAATCATCGCCTTTCATTTCTTTTATAAACTACTAATTTTGTAAGTTCCCGTGGATTTATCAGTGTAAATTTCCTTCCTTATTGAAATTTATGATTTCAAAAGTAATAAAATGAACAACTAATGTGATAATTCATTGTCGGCTTGCCTAACGGCGACGTTGGGTACCATCACGACCTATAGCGGATGTTGGATCTTGACAAACCCGGACCTTGAGGTTGGAATAGATGATGGGAAGCTAGCCCAAAAGTACTCTAAGATATATAACAACATCCGAGCCCTGGGTTTTGAAAATTTATTCCGTCCCGGTGATGCGGTGGACGTGTACTTGGTGAAGGAGTTTTATGCCAATTGGCAACCTAAGGCCAATTTGGATGTTGTGTACGAGGTGCAGTCTCAAGGAAAGGTGATTCCCTTTTCCTCTCAGGTGATCAATCAGATTATGGGATTGCCGGAGCACACTCATAAGCTATTTCTGAGGCTTCTTCGTCGACCGAACTATCCTGATATCCGGCGACAATTTGTGTGGAGCTGATTCTCTTGCTACTTGAACGCGGGATGCCAATGAGTACCACAAAGATATGAAGAAGAGCACTTTACAGCGTCCACTCAGAGTTCTTCTATGGCTGATCAATTGCAAGATTATGCCTACCAGATCAATATCGATGTCTCAAGGGCGAAGGTGTGTCTGATTTATGCCTTCTTGACCAGGATGAAGTTTGATCTTGGCAAGATCATGCTTGAGCGCATGGCTCGACCGCGACCATTTATGAGCATTGTGTGTTTGCTAAACAGACAAGGGAGAAATTCAGCAAGAAGCCAGAGCACAAGACTAGAGACAAGTTAGATTATATACATTTAGACTTGTGGGGTCCAAAAAAAGTATTCCTCCAAGAGTTGTGCTATGTAATTTTATGACTTTGATTTATGATTACTTAAGAATGGTGTGGGTGCATTTTTATAAAATAAAAGATGAGACATTTTTGACATTTGTTAAATGAAAGATGACGGTTGAGAAGCAGACAAAAAAAGTAAAGCGTCTTTGAAATGACAGTGGGTTGGAATTTTACAATTTTGAGTTTATGTTTTCTATAGTAGAGAGGGAATAGTGAGACAGATCGCTTGTGTCGGAACACCATAACAGAATGATATTGCAGAGCATATGAACAGAATATTTTGTGATAGGGGACGAAGCATATTTTCACGGTCATGTATTAGCAAGGATTTTTGGGCTGAAGCGATCAATACAACTTGTTATTTGGTCAACAGATCTCCATCCATATTTTTTTTAGGTGTGATCGGATTCGCATGATAATTATTTAACTTTTAGATAAGCAATTTAATTAGGGTCAAATGGTTTTATGGGTCTTTACAAATTTATTTTTAGTTTTATGATCCTATCTTGTTTTACGCATGAGAGATTTGCATTTACACATAAGATATCTAAAAAGGATATTTTCATAATCTCAAACATCAAATATAATGATATTTAGTTGTCCTGCTTATGCTCGTGTGAGGGATGAAAAACTTGAGCCGAGGGTAAAGAAGAGCATATTTCTAGGGTATGCAAGTGGAGTGAAAGGTTATAGGTTGTGGTGCATAGATCAGAAGAATTTAGGATAAATTATCAGTTGAGATGTGACATTCAATGAATCTGCCTCACTGGACAGATAGAGGTAGAAGGCAATAGCAAAAAGATCTTAGTGAAAATTGAATCTCCGCTAGCTTGGCCTAGTAGTTTAAAGTAGAGAAAGTGGATGAGGTGAAAAATATTGATCATGATGATAATTTTAATGCACCTGTGTAACAACAAGCATATAAAATTGCAATAGATAGAGAGAAGTGAGTGATCAATTTACCACAAAGGTTGCAAACATAGTTGATGGGAATCTTCTTGTATATACAAATCATGTGGGATAACTCCTTCATACATATTGTATTCTTTATAAATTTACTCATTTAATATAGTACAGATCTATTTCTTCTCCAACATCCACTAAATAACTTTTTATGGTACGTTATTATACAATTATTTTCCTTTAGGTCAATGAACAATACCATGTAGATAGATCTTTCTCTTCCTATAAATTAAATTTTCTTCATATATTAATTCAAACTAGTCTTCAATCACTCTTATATCGTTCATGTATCTATACTTTATCACTATTTTTAAAGTTTTATGGTCTCATATTCGATGCCATGATAGCTTGCACAAGTTTGAGTATCCATCTTATTCTTAAAATATATTGGAATCAATGTAGTTTTTTCCCACTCGTTCAGCATCCTTCCAAAGTTTAGTATAACATTAAACAGTTTGATAAGTCATGCTACTCCAACCGTTTCATAGCTTTTCCAACCCTCTATAAGGATTCTATTTTGATCACATAATTTTCTAATGCTTATATTTTTCATTACATCCTTCACTTCCGCAGGCATAATTTCACAAGTACAGCTAAAGTTTGATCTATTAATCAATATAGTATCTCTATCTTTCCTCGATCTGATTATTTCTATCAATATGTTTTGTGCGCCTTACATCCTTGCTACTCTTTTTTCTTTCAAATTTGCTAGTTTATTCATTTTTTTCTTGCCTATCCGTATCACTGACTTTTAATACAAGTCATTTAGGACTTCTCCATTACAGGAAAAAACAATGGCTAATAATGGCTTTTAAGTATGGGTGGGCATAAAATCCGAAAAATCGAATTCCGAACCAAACCGAATTAATTCGGTATTTCGGTATAATTCGTTATCAATTTTTCGGTTATTCCATATTTCGGTACGGTACTCGGTATTGAGGTTTTGATATTTCGGTATACCGAAATACCGAATTATTTAAGTCTAAGCCCACTTCTATTTTTATTATCCAACCCAATAAACCTAAGCCCAACATCCCAAGCCCCCTAATTTCCTTAGGCCTTATAGCCCGTTTGGCCAAGCTGCAAAAATCAGCTTATTTTGAGAAGTGCTTTGTTTCAAAAGTGCTTTTCTCAAAAGTACTTTTGGTGAGAAGCAGTTTGTGTCTAGCTAATTAGTTTGAAAAGCACTTCTGAGCAGCAATTAGTGTTTGCCAAGCTTTAAAAAACTGCTTCTAAGTGTATTTTTCTCAAAAGTGCTTCTCAAAAAAGTGCTTTTGGAGAGAAGCTACTTTTTTCTGCTTCTCCAAAACTGCTTCTGCTTCTCCTCAAAAGTACTTTTTTTCCTTCCAAAAGTTTGGCCAAACACCTCAATTTTTTGCCAAAAGTGCTTTGGGAAAAAAAAAATACTTTTGGCCAAAAAGAAGCTTGGCCAAACAGGCTATTAGTCCCTTAGGCTTACGAGTTACGCAGCAGACGCCACTACCCTTCACATCCCTCTATTTAAACAACACTAAGTACTTGGTGCTTATTTATGCACATCAAAACTTGTTATTTGTAATAGCCGTTCACCTGCAGAATAATTTTTTCCTTCTAATTAAGCTTAAATTTAGATCATATGGTGAGGACTTCATCTACTCCATAAAATGACTAAGAAGAACTCTTAGTAAACGCAAGTAAGACAACCGAAAGATGGCAGAAATTTGGAAACCATGTTGCCCTCAAGCCAGTGCGTACAGTTTGATACCGTAACTGTATCGAGCCGTATCGAACCAAATAAGAAAATACCGAATCGTAACGAACTACTTTGGTACGGTATTTGGTATGCTTAATTAATATTCCAAATACTAAAATACGAACCGTAATTCATAAACACCGTATTGAAGTATCGAATGTCCGACCCTACTATTAAGAGTCTAATTACTGATTTTCTAGTTAGTAAGGAGCCAACGATTGTAAGGAAGCAAAGCATAGAGCCCTTTAATAAGATATATGTCATTAAGTGCGACTATTTCTACTATACAAAATACCTTGAATATATTCTTCATTATTGAAAGAAAAGAAGGAAAGAATAATATTTTAGCACATTTATCTGAAAAAATCTTAATTATTATATTAGCATAAATAGTAAATATTTCAAGTAGAACTTTTCCTATACTATACATGCAAAGATAATGAATAAAACCAAACAACGTTAATTAGCATAAAAAGGAGTCTAGCTTCTCTTGTTTAAAAAATAAAAAAATAAAACCTTTTTACACTTTTCAAAGGCTTATTTGGTAACTTCCTAGTATATCATTATTTGTTTGTTATAGTATCTCTTTGTACCTTCTCATCTCACCATCATCTTGTGGTCGAGATCCTAGGTCTGTAGACATACAAGTACTTCACTTGTTGTTTTTTAAATTCAACCTGATATTTTCTTTGAATATTTTCGTCCAATGTAAATTTATGTTATTTTCAAATTACTAATTTCACTGCTAGCATAATCTAATCACTATGTTACAGCAGCTTATTTGTGTATTTTAAATTTTTTTCTTTCATTTATTATTGATATTTATTTGTATTTATATTTAAATTAACTAATAGTGTAATTTTTTTACCTCGTTCAGAAATTAACCATAGGAAAATCTAATTTTCCATTATTACCATTGGTACTAGCATAATTTCGTGTGTTTACAAAAGAGGGAACACAACACATTGTTCGCACACCCTCGCCTCTCATCACTTCCGTCGCGCCTCCGAGGAAACAAATGGACGCTTCTCTTTGTTAGCTTAATCCGCAGCTTTCGACGTCAACTTCACTTCACTGGGAGCACTCAGTTGCTGTTGTATAAGTAAATTACACTCTTTAAGTTCTTGATTTTTTTTTTCTGTTCTGTTTCTTGTTATTGTTGTTGTTTGTGCAATTTGTTACTCTTTGATGAAATCTTGCTTTAGTATTCACACCCATCTGCAAATTTTGCAGCTTTATACTGATAAAGAATCTGGAGCATATCGATTCGTGTTATAGTTTCTGCTTTATTAGGGTTTAAAAAAGAACTTTTTTTTAAAAAAACTTAATTTCTCTTCAGCATTCTCTGCAAATTTTGCGCTTTTATAATGTTAACCCGGTACTTCATCGATCTGTGTTGTAGCTGCTGATTATTGGGGCTTAAGAGTCTGCCCTTTTCCCCAAAAAGAAAAAAAGTTGATATTTCTTTCGTAATTGTTCCATACAAAGAAATAGGTAGGGTTTAAGGTCCCTCTGTTTCTCATTGTGTCTGTTTGCTGTAAAGCTTCAATCTTGGTAGTGGTATTCACTTGGATGAATAGGTGATATTGTACAGTTGAGGGTTTTGTGTTTTGTTCTACAGCCAAGAAATTGTTATCATAGGTTCTTGCCTAAACACAATTTCCATTGACGGGACAGAGAAGGCAAATTGACACAATATATTCAACAAGTAATAGAGGGGTGTCAAATGGGCAGGCTAGGTCAACATTAGGCAGATTAATTTGGACTAAATGGCTCATAACTCCGTAACTCAAACATTTTTTCATCTTTTTGTCTTTTATAATTTGTCTAGTTACCAAATCAAACTAAGAAAATTAACTTTTTATATTCTTTATAGAGAGGGAAAGTGGATGAAATTGTATAGAACCTCTTTTTTTGTTACATGACTAGATTTTTTATGGGTTAATTTGGGTTGTGCCTGAACTGACTCATAATTGAATTTATTCCCAATTCAACCTGCTAAAGTTTGGACGAGTTGGGCAGGATACACTTATATGGGTTAAATTTGACACCCCAGTAGTACCATGCTCCACTAGCACCCCACTCCCCCACCCACCCCCGAGTCTTACTTTGGTAGGTAGAGTCTCATTCGAAATTTAGTCTTTTGTTCAGAATATATTCTAACTTGAAATGATATTTCTACATCTTTAGGGCCTGAGATTCAGGATGAAAAAGAAGAAAAATCCTCTCGTATTCTTAGATGTATCTATTGATGGAAATCCTGCAGAAAGAATTGTTATTGAGGTAACATATATGAAGCTTGCCAAGCTTCATGGATTAGTTTTTCTTTTTCTTCCATATGAAACTATGTCTTGAAACTGTTTTGATATATCATGCATGCCAATTAGCCTTTATTTTTTGGGGGAAATGTGCAGCTCTTTGCAGATATTGTCCCGAGGACTGCAGAAAATTTCCGGTCACTCTGCACAGGTATATTGCTCGTAACATTATTTGCTTTGTGCTAGCGAAGTACTTTGCTTGAGGCCCCACTAGGTTCTAAATCTGTGTTAAATAGTGGGATAGAAGTTATGAGTTATTGTGAAGGGCCTTAAAGAAAATCATCTCTGTGTTGCCACAATGTAGGCCTGTGAACACCACTTATAATGCTGGTCCAAAAAATGAGAGACTATCCATTGTTTTATGAGATCCGGTGGCCTTAAGGAAAATCATCTCTGCCCTGCCACAATATAGGCCTATGAGCACCATTCGAAATGCTGGGCGTGCATTGGGCATTAGTTTCCAACATTGCTTAAGGGAATGAGCTGTTGTCTTCTTATGTGGTTTTGGATAGTCCTCACTTCACGAGTTAGCTTTGGGCTTGAGTTAGACCATGTCCATTTTCTTAACACTGCTAATTATTATATTTTTGGGATGAAGGCAAAGGTTGGTTTAAAAAACTTGAATAGATTCTTATTCATGTGGTGCATTGAGTCATTAATAAATCACATATTCTTGGATAACAATAAATCATTGTGAATGGGTCTTTTGATTAGTCTCATCATTTTCATTCTCTACATTAATAGTACTCTCCTTTTATTGACTTACAGTGCTTGCATGATTTGATGAGTGTTGTGGTTTTGATGGTATGTTATGTTTTGAAGGTGAGAAGGGAGTTGGAGTATCTACCGGGAAACCTCTGCACTACAAAGGATGCTTATTTCACCGTGTAATCAAAGGGTTTATGGCTCAAGTATGTCTCTCTCTCTCTCTGATACTTGTATTCTTTGTTATCTTTTGAGAATAAATAATGTAGGAATTGGTGTATTCCTTGCTATTTAGTCTCATAGGAAATGCAATTGTTTCCTCCAGCTTGATGTAAGATAATTCCGGAAATTGGGTTCGAAGTTCACAATGTTTTTTCTTTCTGCAATCCACAGAGAATTACATTTCTAATCATTCAGCCCCATCTTACTGGCCCTCCAACATCATGAATAAACTTTTTGTTATTTTCTCTTCTAACTTATGGGATTAAAAGGGGTAGCTGCTAATCATAATAAAGTCAGACTTCCCCCTTCCTAAAAGAAAGTCAAAACTTAAAAGTGAGAAACATTGTTCAGTTTTTAGTTTCATGTGCTTTACAGATTTTACGGATTTTTGATGAAGCAGTGCAGCTAAACTGTTGTGCTTGTCATTTATTTCAAATGAGAAATTAATTGTGTAGGGGTGAATATCAGCTGATCTGGTTCATGAACTTTTTGGGCTTGGTTTGATGACTTTAGTTGGCATAAAAAATACAGCTATTTTTGCCTTTATATTTCTTCTGTAATCTACATAGGGCTTCTAGATTTTTTTCCCGTAGTCAACATATTTGGGAATAATCATCATCCCTTGACTTCTTTCTGTTTTCTACAGGGTGGTGATTTCTCCAAAGGGAATGGTACGCTTTTTCCCCTTCTGGGCCCTGAACTTTCAATTGGTGCAGAGGACTCTTTAACTTCCAAACTCTAGCCCAGACAAGTAAGGCACACGAACTTTTAATGTTTTGCAGGCACTGGTGGAGAGAGTATATATGGAGGGAAATTTCCAGGTAGATTAGTAGTATATATGTTTGAGTGTTTGATAAATGGATATAATCGGTTAATGATGGTAATTTTTTTTTCTCCATGTAGACGAAAACTTTAAAGTTGTTCACACTGAGGCTGGTCTTCTCTCGATGGCGAATAGTGGTCCTAATACAAATGGATCCCAGTTCTTCATTACGTTTAAGAGAACTCCCCATCTTGACGGGTATTTATCTGATACACGAGTGCACCTTAATTTCACCATCTTTTATCTTTCTGTAGGCTTGTACTCCAAATCCTACTAGGAGAAGAAATAAATTTGGTTATAACTATACCTAGTTTCTATCATGAAACATCTATGTTGCCGTTGCAGGAAGCATGTTGTTTTTGGAAAAGTAGTGAAGGGAATGGATTTTGTGAAGAAAATTGAACAGGTAGGGACAGCTGACGGGAAGCCATCTGGGCTTGTGAAAATTGTAGATTGTGGCGAAATGTCTGATGAGAGGAAAGTTAATGATACAACCAAAGCAGAGAAAGGTGACTTTATCTCTCTAAGACTAAGATGTTCCTAATCTGCTGCAGTGTTTTTGCCTCATCTAAGAGATTTTGCTGTGTGGTCTCGTTTCTGTTGTTCATTCCTTTATTTTTTGCCTTGTCTCCAGGGAAAAATAAGAAGTCAGCAAGAGCTCTTTCCCCTGATGATGGTTCAGACAGTCAAGAAAAGGGGAAACACAAAGCATCCACCGACAGAAAGCAAAAGAAAAGGAGGAGATACTCTTCATCTGATTCTTACAGTTCTGAATCAGATACTGATTCCTCTTCAGGCTCTGACTCAGATTCTGAGCTGGACTCCTATTCTTCTAGTTCTTCAAGTGATGGAAGGCGTAAGAAGAGGAAGAGGTCGACTAAGAAAGAAAGGATTCGACGTGGGAAGAAAAAAGACGAAAAGAGGACGAGGAGAAGAGTTCATCGAAGTAAAAGATCGAAACGCAAGCGGTATTGTTTTCTGTTGGCCCCTGTAATCTGTGTTATTATGCTGTATTTTATCGCTGGCTCAGTCCACCAAAGTTTATATTTGTTTTAATCCCATTGCATTCAGGAGCTCTGATAGTTCTAGTGGCTCAGACAGCACCAGCAGCAGTGATAGCTCTGATGATGAAAATGACAGGCGCAGTAATGCTAAACAAAAAGGTAATTATTAATTTTATTCATGGAAGTGGAAAAACATGACTTGTAGAAAGATTTGTCAATTTATTCGTTCATCTTATGTTGCAGCTTTGGGGAAGAAATCATCAATCCCTCTCAAAGGACAAGCTGTTTTGAAACAGCAAAAGAATCTTGAAGAGGGTGAAGTATCTAAGAATGGTAAGCTTCCGAATAATGGTCATGGTGGGGATGTACCAACTGACAGGACTCTCGCCACCAATGATAAATCTGATCATTCCAGCAGATCCAGGTCCCTTCCTTTACTTTACTGAATGCATCATGATGTGGTGGTACTTGTGTATGTAGCTGTTCATATAAGTTACATATCTTCACAAAGTGAAGTCTTTCTCTTTGCATGATTAACAGAAGTGCAACACCAAGTCCCAGAGGGAAGCCAAGACCCAGCCGCCGGAGCAGTCGAAGTATGAGCCCAGCAAAAGTGCTTGATAGACTTGACCATAATGATGGAAGTCTTCAAATTGAATCAAAGGAGAGAAGTCTTCCAAAGAGTCCTTCACAAAAAGCTACTCAGCCGTCTCGCTCTAGTCCTGGCAGGGATTTATCCGGAAACCGTTCTCCTGATGGAACTTCAAAGCGAATCCGAAAAGGCCGTGGCTTCACTCAACAGTATTCATTTGCAAGACGCTATCGCACCCCATCTCCCGAGCGTTCACCTTACAGGCCTTATTACCAGGGTGGGAGAAATTTTCAGGGGAATCGTGATAGGTACATCGAGTTCATATGTAAAAATTGTCCGTGGAAGGGGCAAGTCTGTTATGCATGCTGAATACATTGTTATCTTTTTTAGGTACTCAAGCTATAGAAGCTATTCTGGGCGTTCTCCACCGGGACGATACAGGCGCTCACCAAGAGGCAGAAGTCCGCCCAGGTTTTCCTTCTGAGTTCCTTTCTATGGTCTTTTTATTGTGAATGTCTCTTCATACGTCCAAAATATTAGAGCGCTTCAATTTGTTTTCTGTCTATGATATCTCTGAGTTCGTGGTTTACTCTTTTGTTCCATTTAAGATTGTAACCATGGAAAAATGACTTCACATCCCTTAACCCCCTTTTCTTTTTCTTTGTTCAGTAGATACCGGCGAAGGAGTCGAAGTAGGAGTATTTCTCGCAGCCCTACTGCTCATCCTAGGCGTGAGAGGCGTCGAAGTAGGAGCCCTTCACGTAGTGCTTCCCCTACAGATAAGCGGCAGACAATAAGTGACAGATTGAAGTCTCGTCTTGGGCCTCGCGTGGATGATCAGAATTCTCCTACTAGAAGGTCAGCTTCAAGATCTAGAAGCCGTGACTCAACGACTCCTCGATCTCCTGATGCTGCTCCAAGGAAGCACAGTAGAAAAGTAGGATCTGAATCACCCAGTAGTTCGAGGTCAACCTCCCCAACTCGACAGCGGGGTCTAGTCTCATATGAGGATATCAGTCCCACCGGGACAAACTAATTTGTAGCCTTGAATTAAGCTTATATCTGAGTGACCAAATTTGCAAAAAGCTTATTATCTAGTTTTAAACTTTGTTCCATCAGATGTTGCTAGGCTGGGGTTGCCAACTCAGTTTTATCATTTTTTGTATTTTCAGTATACCGCCAGTTCGACATTGATTGTTTTACCATTTTCCGGAGTCGGGTCCAGATTTTGCATATAGATTTTCATAAATGTCATCACCAATCCGATCAAGACGAATGTTATCATAATTCGTGGTATCGTGGTAGTCGATGATGTTAAATGCTAAAGGGTCGATTGGTAGGGGAACAAGTTATTCGGGGATTATAATAATGAGATTATAATATGGGGATTAAATAATGACGGGATTATTTAGTAAATATATTTTTATTGGTAGATGTTTGGTTTATAGGACAAAAAGGGGATATATGGGGTATACTGTAAGTATACAAGATAAGCTTTTCAACTTTTTTTTGGATTGTTTAAAAGAATTTGGAGAAAGAGCCTTGTTGAAGGGCATCTTTGCCAATTTAGTGTTTATTAGGGGATTAATTAATCTCGAAATTGCTAATCCCGAATTTCAAAAATCTAACCAAACGCGGAATATAACTATTCCATTTGTAATTTTGGGATTATTATCCCTTATTCCACATGCTAAACGACCCCAAAGTAATTATCGGGTCGTTCGGTCTGTGGACAAAGATAATATATGCAGAGAATATAACGCAGGAAGTACAATACCAAGAGTAATAGTCTCTGCATTGTTTAGTGTTTTTTCCTCGGGTCTAGCTGGAAATGCATAGCAACGGGGTTGAGGCCCACCAATCTGACCTCCACCTCTCGGACGGTCTCTCACTGACTGGGCATGCGCCTCTAGCTGTCTGACCTCCATCTCTGGCTGCCTGATTGACCTTTCTTCCGGGATGTTATATCATTTAAAATGGGATATATGTACAATATAAAGGTTTACAATTTTGCTTTCTAAAATTAAATAAAAAAATTGAAGATAAAATCAAAGTTATTTGGTTTCTTAAGCATTTTAATTCCGTGAAATTAATCTCCCTATAAATTATCCAGTGTTAGATTTGGTATAGGATAATGTGGAATTGCATTACAAAATTATACTAATTATATTGTTTATACCGAAAATGAAGTGCCAATCAAGTGCAATATAAAATAAGTTTAACTTTTTTACCATCCCTGTATTCAAGTGATCCCTAAGATTTGTTAATTGCACTAGAGCTTGCAGTCTTCAGGACTAGTAGTCAAGCTGAAAACTTAAAATGTTGTGAAACTGAAAGATCTGCCTTTCTATGGCAGAAGTTTCTAAGAGGTGATCCTTGCAATCTAACTTAATGCTCGCAGAAGTCCAACACTGCTTCATTTTTCGTCGACACTGGTGTCACGATTGTTGTAAAAATGGTAAAAGAATTCACCTTCAAGTCTCAACTATTCGATTGACTCACTCTCTAAATCGATGAGCATAGTTTTTTAAACCTTCATCTTTCCTTCTCTTAATTGCTGGGAAGGATTTACTGCCGAACAAAATGGAGCAACATTCTCAATTTCTCACCCACAGTCAAACTTAGAAGTTGAAATTAACCATCTGGATATAAAAGGGAGTTCAGTCTACATCAGAAAACTATATCAACCAAGGTCGGTCGCCAAACTAAGATGTCAAACATAATTTGTCAAAAAGTACGCTTGGAAAATCCTAGGCATACAAAGGAAACACAGAACAGCGCTAACTAGAACCAGGTGCAGCAGGAGAAGCTGGTCAGCCAGTAATTAGTAAGTTGCTAGCTATCTCACAGAGGTTCGCCTTCAGGAACGACCTGGTCTTTAACCCACATGTAAATAGGAACCAACACATAGTATGTTGCTGCCATTGCCCCCAGAAGGAACCGCAGCATAAAGACAAATGGATTTACAGGTTTTGCCACATCCTCTGCCTTTGGGCCAAGCTGCAATTGTGACATACAACAAGGTAAATATAAGGAGGAGAAGGAACTTGTAACACTTTTTACCAACTGTATAAAGAAGAAAGAGGCGAAGAAGGATGCCCAGAATCCAGTGGGATAAGAGGAGATTCAGATTAAGCCTAACATCACAACATCCACTCATAATTCACTCCAATGCAACCAATTAGAACTTGTAACTGCAACAGTTGAACATATAGTTATGTATTCATCGAATAGTATCGTGATGTCATCCTCGCCCTAAACCCATATTCTATTTAAAGTCAAATCAAAATAATTTCTTCAGCAGACATCAGTTCATCACTAATAAGTTAAAGTTTGTCATCTAACATTTTAAGGCAATGCGATGTGTTTGGGCATATTTAGCACACTCATATATCATGGGAAAAGCAGTGATTATCTTTATCTAGATGTTACAAACTGCTCCACAAACAATTATGAATTACAACCCCCCGACACACACGCACACCAAAAAAAAAAGGAAATAAGAAAAGTAATACTCTATTATTTTAATGAAATTAATCAGGTCAGAAAAATAAAATGAATGTACTCCTAAAAAATGTAATTTCTTTTTAGGGCACTGGTGGAGGAACGTGAGAAATTACCTGCAGTGGTGAATCGCCAGGTGTAGACTTCACACCAGTCACAGAACATCCCATGATAAGCCCATGCCTGCGAACCCCACGATACCATTTTGGGCCAATCCTCTTAAGTTGGACATCCTCGAATCCTGCCTTCTCAAACCACTCCAAGTATTCTTCCTCCTTAGGAAAGAGCATCCACACATCAGCAAAGAAACGAGACAACCAAAATGTAGGGTGGACAGGACCGATTAGGCACGCCTTTCCTCCAGGTTTCAGAACCCTGTACGCCTCTCTGATGCCACGTTGTGGATCCGGCCAGTACTCAATACTGAGAGGAAAAAGGCGATCAATGAATTTCATTATGATGAATTCATGAAATCTTTACAACCTTTTCAATTGAAGAATGAAAATATCAACAATCTACTACCATAATTTGTCCTTACTAGTTCTAAGTCAAGAATCCAGACAAATTATAACTGACTCTGGCTGTGAATACCTCTAGATATTGTCAATAGATTTCTCTAACTTTTTCGCATGTTATTTTTAATGGAATTCTCTAATTCTTTCACATGTTATTTTCAATGAATTCCTCTCCCTTTTTTCAGGAGCGGAGCCACAATAGAAGTTACGGTTCAGCAGAACCCAGTAGCTTTGTCTAAACCTTGTATTTGTATAAAGAAATTTTCTTAATTATGTATAAATAATCTATCCTGAACCCCATAATCAAAAAGTGTTGTGGATTAGAACCCATAAACATAAAATCCTAGATCCACCACCTATGCTTTTTTCACATGCATATAGCTTTCCAACAATTTACATTACAGATATACAGGTTGGAGAAGGGGCATGACCGCACAAGCACAAAGGGCATGACAGCACAAGCACAACCCTAGCTTGAAAATGAACCTTAGTCCTCTAAATAGCATCTAAAAATCCTGTTCAAGCTTTGGGAAAATCAAAAATACAACTGTTTGATAAAGAGTCCAAATACATGGAGATCGAAACGACTGGTACTCACTAACACTAATGCTACAGCTAAGACCGTTCCAATTAATTCAGTTATAATATCCAAAACCCAAAAGGCAATCTACTATACTAAAGGAAACTCGACAACGCCCTTTATGTGAAAAACAATGATTGTAAGAACAAAAATTGAGCTGGAAAAGTTAAAAAGGGAGCAGACATAAACCTTCCAGCAGATACATATCGGTCAGCATAATCAGTTTGGAAGGGAAGATCCTCGGCATCACCCTCAATAATCTTGCATTCTTTCAAAGGCTCCTTTTGCTTAGCCTTAGCAAGCTGATGGGGAGATTGGTCAAGAATTGTAACATTCTTAGCATCCACATGCTTAACTATACCCAAAGTAGTAAAACCAGTGCCACCACCAACATCAACCACAGTCAAATTCCTGTCATTAAGGTGAGCTGGTTCAAGTGCATCTTCCCTCATATCCTCAGTCCAATGCCCAGGATTGATCACATGATCATACACAATGGATAAGAACCTATAGAACCAAAATGCCTCTTGCTTGTGTTGTATGAATCTTGGCTGTGAAGCTGGCCTAGATGTTGAAACACTGCACCTTAGACCTAGGGTTTTCATTTTATTACTGGTTATTGATAAACCCAACTTGGGGAAATGCTTGCCATTCAAATCTGAACCCGCAAAGCCTAACCCATTTGGGGAAATTCTCCTATAAAGACCTAAACTTTCAGTTCCAGTGATGAGCATTGAATTTGCCATACTCACAGAGGGGCAAATGCAAGAAATTAGACGTCTTCTAATCTTTTGAAGCAATGCCTATGTCGTCAAAATCGAAGCTTTGCTGAGATATAGAGTGAAGAAACCACTGAATTTGTCCTAGAAAAAGGGCAAAAAAATAGTAGTAAGAAATTTTACAAGAAATTTTGGTGGGTTTAGAGTGACAATGATACAGTCATTTGCCCCTTTGATAAATTAGTTTAATATAAAATGGGAATGGAAAACGACAATAGTATAGATTAGGGTGAGTAGGCGAGGGGGTGGGGGAGGCAAAAAGTTTTGTTTTTGTGTTTTTTTGGGGATAATAATCAGATGCTACTCCCAATTAAATTAGGTAAGAAAATGAAGTTGTTTGGTCTAAGACTCTCAAACACATTACGATTTCCGGAATTAATACTTATCAAAATACTTGTTGAACTAAATAATAAAAAATAATCCAAAAGTAAGTTATTACAAAAATCCACATCCAAACGCTCAATAAATAAATGTGACATTTTTATAGTCTATGGTAACATTAACAATTGGTGGAATTTTAATCTTCTCATATGATATGTTTGAGAATTGACATATAGTCCATTCGCCAAATTTTTAGGGTCATTTGGTTTGAATACAAATTATGCTGGATTAGTTATATTGGGATTAGTTATGCTTGAATTAGTTATCATTGTATTATATTTTATTGAATGTTTGATATATTATATTAGTCCTGCAATTTTCAACTTTACTACTTTATCTTGGGATTACTATTCTACCTTCTAGCAGATATAAGTTATCTCGATATTATTTTTAACCCGAGATAACATATCCAGGATTATTAATCAAATAAAAACTAAATTAAGGGTACTAAATTGTTATCTGACGATTACATTTGCTTATTTATCGTACCAAATGACCCCTTAGAGTTATATCCTCTAATTTGTCTTCTACTACTCAGTAAGGCTACTATCAAAATAAATGAACATTATAAAGAGTCATCACATCTAGTATGTATCGCCTGAATTGACCAATGAGGCAACATGGGGCATATGTGGAGTAGCCTTTGCCCTCAGTACTGGAATCCAATTTGTGTTAAGGTATCAAATACGGACACCAATGGCTAACGTAGTCGTGTTGAATCCTTCTCATTTTCTTCTTCGTAGTTTCTTTAATTTGACTTGTAGCAAACCTACTTCCCTTGCAAACAAATTCGATTCCGGTCTCTGTCATGAATTGCATTTTGGTAAGAGCTTAAGTTTTTTTAAGTTTACTTGTAAAATTTTCCTTTTCACTATTTAGTTGTCATTCTTGTTGATATTGATTTGTGCTGATTGTTTTCTGCCTTCGTTAGGAGGGACATCACAATCCCAAGAGTTTGAATGACCGTGACATCAACAAAACTTTTATAATAATACTATATAATAACTTCTCTTTTATTAACTTTTCTCTTTTTGGTTTGCCATGCGATACAGTATACGCACTGGGGTTCGATTAAATCTAGATTCATGCCGAATGTCCCACATGGATTTAAAGCCTTCCCTAATAAAAACGGCTCTATACTTATGGCTCAAACTCAAAATCTATGATTAAGGACGACGAAGTACTTATCACTCCACAACCTTTGTTAATCTTTTATTATGTATACGGTCGAAATCAGGTATGCCCGATTTCCCGGGCTCGAGGGGTCGCCACAAGCCTGAGTTCAGGCAAGGTCGAGTTCAAGCTCGATGGACCAGACTCGAGCTCGAAGACAGAGTGCAATGTCCGAGGATCGAAGTGCGATGAGTATCAAAGCCGAGTGTGCTCAACCCCGAGATAATGCCGTTACAGATTTGTAAGAGAATGAGCAAGATTCCTGTCACGTCCCCAAAATCATGGCGTAAATCCCAGAATAGATTTGTACGAATCCGTACTAGGCGGTTAGACAGCTGTCCTAATAAGATTCTTCATTATAAATAGAAATGTACCTTATTTAGGGTTCCCCTATTATATAAAGGGGACCCCAATCATTTGTAAGGATCATCTAATCATTGGCAAAGAATATACTCTCTTACTTTTCTCGCTCATTGTTCGTCAGAACTGTCCTTTAGCTTTATTATTCTTGCTTTACCATTCTTGATCCATCTCGAGGTCACTGGGCTCGAGGTCGATACTGCTTAGTAACACTGGTTTGATTCACTCATTTCTTTCATTTATACTTTATACTTCTTGATTATTAATTGGTATTGAACTAAATCACATATCTTTAACACCACAAATCAAATTTAATTATTTACTCGTATTTTTGAGGTAAATAGTTTGGCGCCCACCGTGGGGCTAAAGATAATATTTATTATTTCAGTACTGATTCTCATAACACACGTTATTTTTACACTTTTCTTGTCAAGAATTTTCGATTCTCAGGATTAAACATATCAAACTCGCAAAACGCACTTGTGCATGACAACGAAGGTCTTGGATTTCATGGGGGAAAACAACAATGTAGGGGTCAGTGTACCACTGATAAATCCTGGGGAAGTACCAAATGTGGAACCAGTTGATGTTAGTTCGCACATTGCTTTTAATGCTGATCTAGGCGCAGATCCCGGAGGAAGTGTACACAGGGAGGCCCGATCTGGGGTCCAAGGAACACAAGGTCTAGGAGATGGTGAGTTTAGCCTCATAGTTATATTCGAGATGCTGCAAGCTCAGCAGATTGCCATCGCTCAACTTCAGAGTCAGAATAAAACTGCGAGTATAGCCGAACTAGAAAACACTCGACATGATGAACCGACGCCAGAGAGGTCAAATGAAAATTGCTCGGGGACTGACCCTACCATTATGAGAATGCTCGAAGATCTCACCAAGAGGATCGAGTCCGGGGAAAAGACGATTGAAGACAATGACAAAAAGGTGGAAACTTATAACTCCCGTGTTGACCAAATACCAGGGGCACCTCCGGTCTTGAAAGGTTTAGATGCCAAAAAGCTCATACAAAAACCATTCCCTCAGAGCGCGGCTCCGATGCCCAATCCTAAAAAAGTTTTGCATGCCTGATATACCCAATATAACGGGACAACCGACCCTAATGAGCATATTACCTCATATACTTGCAGGATTAAAAGAAACGACCTGAATGAGATGAGATCGAGTCAGTCTTGCTGAAAAAATTTGGGGAAACTTTGTCGAAAGGAGCCATGATTTGGTATCACAACTTGCCTCCTAACTCTATTGATTCGTTTGCCATGTTAGCAGATGCCTTCGTGAAAGCACACGTCGGGGCCATAAAGGTGGCGACGAGGAAATCAGACATTTTCAAGATAAAATAGAGGAACAACGAGATGTTGAGGGAGTTCGTGTCCAGGTTTCAGATGGAGCGAATGGAATTACCACCGGTCTTGGATGACTGGGAAGTACACGCTTTTATGCAGGGTTTGAATGAAAGGAGTTCGATTGCGTCTCGATAACTAAAGCAGAATCTGATCGAGTATCCAGCTGTGACGTGGTCAGACGTGCATAATCGTTATCAATCAAATATCAGGGTCGAGGACGACCAGTTGGGAGCCCCCTCGGGTTTAGTTCATCCTAATAGAATGGAAGCCAAGCCCCCGAGGAATATAGACAGGGAATCGAGGTCAAACAAGGAACGGTATCAGCCGTATGTCGATCGGAGAAACAACGGCTCGAGTTGTAACGCTCCTCGGAGTGATCGGAGAAATGATCGAGGTCAAAGCTCTCGGGGACTCATGAGTAAGAATGGGTTCGATAAACATACCGACCCCGCGGAAGCACCTCGATTCTCGGAGTATAATTTCAGTGCAGACGCGTGGGGGATTGTGTCAGCTATTGGAAGAATCAAAGAAACCAGGTGGCCCAGGCCCATACAAACTGATCCCTCTCAAAGGAATCCAAACTTGATGTGTGAGTATCATGGCACACATGGCCACAGAACCAAAGACTGCAGGCAGCTAAGGGAGGAGGTAGCTCGGTTGTTCAACGAGGGTCACCTTCGAGAATTTCTCAGTGATCGAGCTAAGAATCACTTCAGGGAGAGGGATGCAAACAGAAAACACGAGCAGGAAGAACCACAACATGTAATCCACATGATCGTTGGTGGTGTCGATGTCCCACAAGGACTTGTGTTCAAATGTACCAAGGTCTCGATCACCAGAGAAAAACGGACTCGGAGCTATGTGCCCGAGGACGCCCTATCATTCTATGACGAGGAAGCAGAAGGCATATCTCAGCCGCACAATGATGCCCTCATAATCTCTATTCTTTTAAATAAAATTCAAGTTAAACGTGTTCTAGTAGATCCAGTAGCTCAACAAACATAATCAAATCGAGGGTCGTAGAACAGCTCGGCTTACACGATCAGATTGTACCTACATCCAGGGTCCTAAATGGATTCAACATGGCAAGCGAAACAACAAAGGGGGAGATAATCCTACCAGTAAATGTAGCCGGGACCATACAAGATACAAAATTCCATGTCATCGAAGGCGACATGAGGTATAATGCGCTCCTCGGGAGACCATGGATACACAACATGAGGGCGGTACCTTCAACTCTTCATCAGATGATGAAATTCCTAATGGAGGATGGTGTGAAAAAGGTCTACGGAGAGCAACACGTTGCAAAGGAAATGTTTGCAGTCGATGAAGTGATGCCGACACCAGAGCCTTCTACCTCAGAGAAGTCGAGCACCAAAGGTAAGCAGGCGGCTAAATAGCAATCACCGCCCCCAGCCTCGATGGAATCGGAGCAACAGATAATCGAAGACGAAGAAGAGGATTTCCTTAATCCTCAAACTTTCGTCATTCTCGAAGAGTCCGATGCAACCAAATCAATGGTCGAGGAACTGGAGCAGGTCATACTGATCGAATGCATGCTCGAGAGAAAGGTATACCTGGGAACGGGATTAACCCCCGAACTCAGGGAAAAACTCATTCAATTTCTTATTAATAATATGGATTGCTTTGCTTGGTCCCATTTAGATATGGCAGGGATTCCACCAGAAATAACAACACACCGGTTAAGCCTCGACCCCAGGTTCAAATCGGTAAAACAAAAAAGGAGGCCCCAGTCTGAGGTGAAACAAAAAAGACGAGGTAACCAAACTTCTTAAAATAGGGTCTATTCGGGAGGTAAAATACCCCGAATGGTTAGCCAACGTAGTTGTAGTTCCGAAAAAAGGAAACAAACTTAGAATGTGCGTAGACTACAAGGATTTAAACAAAGCA